ACTCCAGTTTTGCCTTGTCGAAGAGAAGCTGCATAACTGAACAAGCTCTTCGGATTGGAGACGAATCTATCGATAAGCTTGGTCTGGAACTGAAGCCTGTCTTCTCTTATTGCCTTAGTGCATATGTTCCTTATATGTTTGTATTGCCTGTACGCGCCGTTGTTATCAGTTCGTTTATATTCAGCCCAACAGTGCCTTTTGCGGCTTAGCAAACGACGAGTGCGGTTCTTGATGATTGCAGGTTGTTTGTAGCTTTTTGGGACAATTTGAGGAACTGAATGCTCAGTAGCACATAAGATCGTGTGCAGTAAAAAATCCCAATGAGCATCCACTTCAATTTGAGGGTGAACATCCCAATCCACCTGTTGTAGATAGTCCTGTAAAGCTAACACATTCAACCGTTTGAAGTTCCAGCGCTTGTTGCTAGTAGGATATCGTAGCTCCGTTTTGCTGACAAAGCTGAATGATAAGACAGCGTGATCACTTTTCCCCAGGGGAGCCAGGATTGAGAGGTCGTCAACTAGGATTTCTTCGTTTGTGAATACCCAGTCTAAGCGTGACGGCGTCTGACTGTTTCTCCAACGGGTTGCCGACTTAACATTTTCGAATAATCCCAGGTCGCCGATAAGGTTGAAGAACAGAGCTTCAGTAGAGTTGGCGCCACCAATGTATGTATGTTCCACGAAGTTGATTCTAGGGAGATTGAAGTCCCCTAGAATCAGGATATGAGAGAATCCGAGACGCGTAGAACGAGTTAATCCTTCCAGCAGACGTTTGTCACACTCGATGTCGGCAGTGGGCTTCCTGTAGATGACCCCAACTAGACACCTCGAGGTGGTAGACAATCTTACTGAGCACCATACTGACTCATCAAGATTGAGAAACTCTTGGTTGTGAAGTTGGTGCGCATCCAGGCATAACCGTATGTATAGTGCTACCCCACCCCACCCCATTCCTGTTTTTCTGTCGTTGCGAAATAAAGACATCCCAGTTATCGCTAACTCCTGGTCCGTAAACTGAGACGTTATCCAAGTTTCGGATATTCCTATCAGATGGGCATCATTAGCGTTGCTAAGTTCACGTAGCTCATCCATTTTGTTTGGCAAGCTCGCGGCGTTCGTGTATAGGCAGTTTATGCTTTCAATTTGGAACGCGTGAGCCTCTTCTTGTTTGTCTATATCAGCCGTGTGTGAGTGGACAGGTAGCCTACCTATACGATGTTTACCGAGTTGGTAGTCCCTGTCCTTTACACGTTTTTTTATGATCAAGACAGTCCACGAGTGGAATTGTCAGCTCCAGCTTTCGTTTGTGCTTGATCCTGCTGTCGTGGGGCCTATCCGGATGCATATGGATGCCAGTTGGCAACCGACGTCTATTGGCACGAAATGCTTCCAGAGTTGCAGCCGCCAAGTGGGAGGAGGGGAAGGTTATCTTCAGCAGCCGGGGCCTAGAGTCTCCGTCTCTCTTGGCCAGTCTCATTACCTGTTGGGTCAATATGTTCTTGAGTTTTAAGGAATGCTTGATGAATTTCCATTCCCGAATATCAGAGTTTGCTTGAGCTGGGTCCATATTTTCCGGCACACCTTGCACAATGATATTTCGTCCACGGGAAAACGCCTCGCGAGATTCCTTAGGGATGTTCCGGATGAGATTTCGTTCAGAATACGGTATGTCGGGCAGTATTCTTACGTTCCCATCGGACTTCAGTAAGTGACTGGCTAGCAGGACGTCCTCTACGTCGGAGGCATTCTTAAGTGTAACACGAAGCAGCCTCGGGTGGTTTAGGTGGTTAGAGTCCTTCCCCCGAGTGAGCCGTGTGACGATCAAAGGCTCTATTCTAGGGAATTCAAGCCTCTTGTTTAATTCTCCCCAGAGCATCCTATCGCTTTTGTCCTGCAAACTGAGAGGAAGGTCGGGGTTGTCAATAAGGTTCATGATTATGACAGAGTCGTCATGATCCGCAATTGATTTCCCAGGGCGTCTAGGTTTGGTATCTTGTTGTTTGGATGTCGAGGCGCGTTTTCGATTCCTGGGCTCAATGATGACCGGGCGGACAGTCTTGGGTGTAGACTGTGCGGCCAAAGCATCAATTGATTTCCGCACGATACTTGGGACGTTCAGTTTCGGAGGGGACGCTTGGGCTTTATTACTCCTGTTAACGTGAGTCCATCCACCTACAGGATTTTTGGGAACCACTGTCTCATTCAAGGACCGTTCCCCGGGGGACCCAAGTTTACTGAGGGAGTCGATGTTAACATGGTGCTGAGTTTCAGCACATCATCACTCGTGCTGTTAACAGCACCGTCGATAACCGACCTGTCAGTATCCTTTTTCTTATTTGCCCTATGCGTCCCAGCTTTGTTACCCGTCATGGTGCTATCATTTACCGAATTCTTAGACAACTTATCTCTCAGACCTGCCAGTAAAGTAATGATAGTACCCAACATAACTACCGTATCGGTGTTGCAGGTAACACATACTCACCTACGATCAGACTTGCTGAGTCTGCTATAGGCTGCTGCTGTTAGATCTGTACATGCCTCATGGAACCAACCTTTACAGTTGTCACATTGCATGCCAGATGTAACGGCAAAACGGCAACCAGGTCTCTTGCATGAATTTTTCATGGCTAGTGATTTAGACTGTCTTAAAAATACAAGCAGTAAATTTAGGACCGTTAAAAAAAACACAGTAAACAAAAACTATCAAAAATGTATAAAAACAGTTAACGATAAGCTAAAGCTAGCCTTTACGTGAAAACTATAAAAAAACCGATAGTGAGCTGAGGCAAAACCACAGTTAACTATTAATTTGAGTGAAACACAAAAAAAGAAGTAATCTACCGAACGTATAGCTCAGAATAGATTCTTTGGATTGGAAATGATACTTTTGTTGCGTAAGAACACAGCAAAAGTTTGAGAAATGTAAATCACGTTAGGATTAAACTTCCCGTTCGAATAGCGCGCTTGATACATAGCTTCACCCTCAGAGCAAGATTCTGGAGGGAAAAAAAGAGAGTAGATGCAGTTATGTCGTCTACGGCGTTGTTTCGAAACGAGACAAGTACTACTTGCTCCTAGTCAGGAAGTTTAGACAAGAGTTGTCTGAATAGGCCATCATCGAAAGTTCTTTAGCCGATAATCCATCTCATTATTAGCGACATGTCTGTTGCATACTCGTCCCTTAATTGGTAGGCGGATATCTCGCCTTTGTCATAGTTGACAAAAGCCAAACAAGTTTTCTGAATCCGTGAAGAGATTTCGTCAGACACCAACCCATTAAGGCTGGTTAGACTTCAAAGACAAGTGAAGATGCCGACGCCTTCGACTACTTCACTCCCTAACCGTAGTTCGGGTGTTGACGCAGGCCATTCCTGAAGCAACAACTTGCATCTAGATGGGGAGAAAGTCATCCCAAACATCCTGGCATTATTGTTCAGCGATACCAAATGACCCTGCACTCTATCAGCGTTTTCATCAAACAGGACTATATTATCTGCGTATTCTAAGTGTGCCTCCTGGTAGGAGATCAATGCTCTGAAATTCAGTCGACGAGAACGTTATTTCCAGCAGTAGGTCTATGATGGAGTTAAACAAACAATGGAGATAGTGGACAGCGTTGTCGGACACCACTTAAAGTTGTAAAATCAGATGACAGTTCGCCCTAAGTTCCCACTCGACTGCTAGTGTTCGAGTAAAGAGCCTTTACAAGGTTTATGTACTTCTGATGTACACCTTCCAATGACAGACACTGCCACAGAACCTCTCGGTCTACAGGGTCAAATGCTGCTTTTAAGTCAAGAAAAATTATCATTGCCTGACGCCGATAAGCGTGCCAGAAGAATAGTGGATATGTGGTCGACACAGGTCTTAAGCCAGCCTGATTTCCTCGTGTTTGCAGTTCGAGTCCTTGTTGGGTGTCTGATAATTATTGAGGCTAGTATTTTAGATGCTATATTAGTCAAACCAATCCCTCTATGGTTACTACAGGATGATTTTGACCCCTTCTAATATATTGGGACAACCAGAGATTGTGACCAGTAAGATAGGATTAAGTCCAACTACCAGATTTTAGCTAAAATATTAGTCAACCTGATAGTTAAAATTGAACCACCATATTTAAAGACCTCTGGAAGCAATCCATCTGCTCTTCCTCGTTTCGAATTGGCTTTAGCCTTTCGCGCTTCAACTAGAGTCGGCGGACCTACTTCAATGTCCCATTCAGGCTGTTTGGGGATAGCGGGTAGTTGTAGAGTAACTGAATGCCAGCTGAACTGTTCGGCCTATCGTCCTAAAGATCGAAATTTTAGACGGATTGATTAATATGCTGATCTTGTTGTAGGTTTCTAGTTATCTCCAATTGTCTTGACATTTTGCAGTTACTATGGGCATCAGATGTCATGTATCTTCTAAACTGCCTATCATATTTTATAAACTTAAATACACGTACTGTGCGTATTTACAGTAAAGATTTGATATTTCAAAATATGTAAGGTAATATAAAATCTCTGTAAGATACGCGTTATAAATGAGGTAGATACTAAAATAACCTAAACTACGTGAAAAATTGTTATCAGTTACTAAACTCCTGCCTCAGAATTGAAACTAACTAATTTTAAAAAGCAGAAATATCGTCAATTCAAGCTTGATGGATTGGCTGATTGCACTCGTCATTGTTAGAAATTAAATTATGCGTAGGTCATTAGCAATCCGTAGTGGTAGACCATTTACAGATTTGTCTGAATAAGACACGTTTAACTTGAGCTTGAAATAGTCTATTGGTGAGACTGTGTTTATGTTGGTTTGGAGATTGCTACACACGGTGCTTATTTCCAGTGAGAAGAAGCAGAACACATTCTGAGCAGTTGGTCACTTTTAAGCAATCCAGCTAAGATTTACTAGAGGATCACGCTGGTGGGCGTCTGGGACTATCTTGTTGAGATAGTATGAAGACTGTGATGTTACTTCTCTTTGTAGGTAAACATGAATAACTTCAGCTGTTTGAGATCGTAACGTCTAATAACGATTCTAGACGTGAATTTCTAAATTTTCTCTGAGATTTACTTGTTTTGTTTAAAGGAATTTCAAGGTAATTGCAGGTTTCAAGGTAACATGCAACGTACATTTTAAACGGCGTAAAAACAATGAGTATACCAAGCTGTCTAAAGAAGAACTGAAAATAACATAAAATTTCGGTACGTTTTCTGAGTGGATTAGAATCCTGAAAGTAAAATTACTTAATGTGTAATTACATTATCTAGAAATGCACAAATCAAAATGATTATTGAAATATCTTACACGAACAACAGATGCAGAAACTTATTTCAAAATAAAAACATCGAAATTCCCTTTCAGACGCCTATGTATTATAATCTATGTTGGAAATGTGTCAATTATATTACTGAACGGGTTTTTTGAATCCTTACATATACGAATTAAAAAGTAACTTAAAATGAAAAACTAGAAAGGATGTTTTCAGTATTAAAGAAATAAGGAACAACTGTTAATGGGCATGTCATCTTCAAATCAGTTCATTAAAAAAAACGTTCAATATTTTTTCAAAGGAAAGAATAATTACAAAAGTGTACAAACGACACCATTTTTACAAAAAAAGTGCAAACCCCGAATTTTTTATTTCCTACGGTAGGGGTTTAACAGAAGTTCGGAGAAGTCTTGAACAGACTTTATTCCTCTCACCTCATTTTCTAGTTGAGGTAATTGTATGACATGCATGTCTTCATACAGTTCTAAAATTTGCTCCAAGTATTTCGACTGTATTCGATGACGTGCCAAGCACATCCGACAAGTAGATGGAGGTTCATTTGAATGATCCTTAGATGAGGAATCACATGATGATAATAAATTCGGAAACAACAGTTGATTTACAATGACATTGTGGACATCAATATCGTGTGCAGTGAGTTCCTACAAATTCAAAAATAAAATTAGATGAAATTGTCACAAATTCTATGCAAAAAAACAGTAACAATGAAAGGTGAAGACCTAGTAAATATCTGAATTATGTTTGTTCGAAAAACGGGATGACAATGTAAAATTACATATCTAACTCTTTGTGGTTCTTGCTTAATATACTTCTGCAACAACAGTCTTCAACATCCCCAATAAAAAAGCAAGCTCCTGAAATACAACAGCGAGTACCACACACTTGTTCGAGAAGTCCTGGGACAGGTGGGAAGTTTTACATAACTGGGTAGCATCATCGACAAACAAGGAGGACCTGATGCAGACGTAAAGACAAGGATTTCTGAAACAGAGGAGGAATTTCTACAATTGAAGAACAAACGAAACTCAAAACAACTGTCAGCCAGCATCAAAATCAGAACCTTTAATACAAACGTCAAGACAATTCTATTGTACGGAGCTGAAACGTGAAGAATTACCACAACCGTCTCTAAAAATGTAAAGGCATTTTTAAATAATTGTCTACACAAAATACTCCAGATCCGTTGGCGGGATATTATTAGCAACAACCTACTGTTCCAGAGGACAAACGAGCTCCCTAATGAAGAGGAAATTAGGAAAAGACGTTGGAGGTGGATAAGACATACAATTCAGAATTCATCAGACTGCATCACGAGACAAGCCCTAATTTGAAATCCTGTGGCGAAACAGAGAAGAGGAAGATCAAGGAACATATTGGACAGGGAATCGAAAGCAGACATCAAAAGAATGAACAACAATTGGAAACAACTGGAAAAAGAGTCTAGGACACAGTTGGTTGGAGAATCCTGATAGGCGACCCAAGTTGCCATGATGGGTAACAGGAGTAAGTAAGTATTGAGTATAAATTTGAAAAAATGGTGAATTCGCATACCGAAAGGAAACATGAACACAATATCAATCATCTAAGTGAATTATTGTCTGGGAGCAAAGTTCTATTTGAAACTATCAATCACTGTCGAGACATACACTAATGCTGAATTGATTAATCAGACACACAGTTTTAGACGCTGAGTTAGAAAAAATGTGTTGACAATTTTACAGAGCTTTGATTATTGAAACATGTACGTCCCTATTCAGAATATAAAAATCGGGTATAAGTGAATTGATAAAAGTCGTGTGGAAAAGATGGTATAGATCTCATCTTTCGAGAACCACATATTTCGGAGTGCAATGACTTTAATGAACATTCTGCCAGCATAATGCATCTCAGCTTGAATCAAATCTAGCATTTAGCAGCACAAGCCATTGGTTTGATTAAATAGATGAACGAGCTGTTTTATAATCTGTTCATTAACGTACTAGTATTTCAATAAACGAACGATAAATGGGTGGTCCAACTGAGTGACGTATTTTCATAAGAAACAAGTCAGGGGAACCGATACCGGTGAATTGATAATTCTAACTGGATTATAATAATCTTCGCTATACTTAGCTGATACGCGTTTACATTTACTGATGAACGACTTCGTTGCTAGTAAATTATATGATAAGATAAAGCTGAGTTAGAAACCAACATTTTAGACCACTGAGATGGAAATTTCTCCACACTAGATTTTAGGTCATGGTCCAACGCGAGATGGGAAAAACGATAACAAACAATCCATTATGTTGTCGAATCAATCTGCATATATCATTCAATCACTTTTCACTGCATTTCTAGGTTACTAAAAATGTAAATATAAAGTGGCATTTTCGCTAGAAACTAGTTGTTGGCTGTGAATCTTATTGAAGCGTCCAACTACACGATTGAGATTTACATGAAACCGAAAATTAAAGAAAAAACGTTTTCTAAAGAATGGTTCTGTTATTGAAGAAGATATATAAATTGGTTACAGACCCCAACTTATGTGGTATCTGTGACGATTAACTCATCTATATATCTGGAAAGAGAATTGGTCCCTGTTGTAATGACATAAAAAGTAATTACAACATAGGACAGCGTAAATGATAGTTGATAATTGTGTCTATCGTTAACAACATTTTATAAACAACCAAAATAGGAACTAAAACACTTATATGTGGAAACTGTTGGGTTTAAACAGATTTAAAAAGTTAAAAAAACTAGAACTGTTGCAAGAATTGGTAGAAAGTAATTATAATCGTAAATACAGTAAATGTTATTAGTTTACATAAATAAGAAAAAGAGAATTCAGCGAAGAAAATTTTCTTTTCGACGAAATCATTTACTTAAGCTGTACATTCGTATATATAGTAATATGGAAAATATATGTCTATAGGAGGCTAGAAAAGATTGCATTATAAATGGATTCGACAATAAATAACAAATGAGGTGACGTACTAATCAAGGGGTAAGGAAGAAAATAATTTATGGGTCAGATAATAGTTCAATTAACAGATATGAAGAAGAGCGACAAACACAAAGGTCATAATAATAATAATCTGAGTAATAATCAAGAAAACTTATATAAGGTAATAATAATAATAACAGATTAGAGATTAAATGTAAAGTAGTAATTTAAAAAACAAAAAAAAACCGATAATAATCAGATAAAAGTACAAAAAACAAAAAAACGTACCCAATGAGGGAATTAGGGCCAAGGAAGGGTAAGAGGTTGGACAAATCGTTTCTGCACGCAAAGTTCAGGCTTGAATTCATGGATTGCCAATGCCTCAGCAGTGCATAAAATATTGATTCGACCTCCCTTTGATCCGGTTCCTTTAACTCTATAGATTATTTTAAAAGACGTCTCTTTTGGAGCAATGTGTCCGCAATTGATCAAGTGCTCTTGTATCGAACTGGTTATCTTCTTACATTCACCTTTTAGGAGCCAAGCTGGATAGTGTTCAGAGATAGGCCGCACAAAGCGATCGCGTTCCAAACGTATCTCTGAACACTATCCAGCTTGGCTCCTAAAAGGTGAATGTAAGAAGATAACCAGTTCGATACAAGAGCACTTGATCAATTGCGGACACATTGCTCCAAAAGAGACGTCTTTTAAAATAATCTATAGAGTTAAAGGAACCGGATCAAAGGGAGGTCGAATCAATATTTTATGCACTGCTGAGGCATTGGCAATCCATGAATTCAAGCCTGAACTTTGCGTGCAGAAACGATTTGTCCAACCTCTTACCCTTCCTTGGCCCTAATTCCCTCATTGGGTACGTTTTTTTGTTTTTTGTACTTTTATCTGATTATTATCGGTTTTTTTTTGTTTTTTAAATTACTACTTTACATTTAATCTCTAATCTGTTATTATTATTATTACCTTATATAAGTTTTCTTGATTATTACTCAGATTATTATTATTATGACCTTTGTGTTTGTCGCTCTTCTTCATATCTGTTAATTGAACTATTATCTGACCCATAAATTATTTTCTTCCTTACCCCTTGATTAGTACGTCACCTCATTTGTTATTTATTGTCGAATCCATTTATAATGCAATCTTTTCTAGCCTCCTATAGACATATATTTTCCATATTACTATATATACGAATGTACAGCTTAAGTAAATGATTTCGTCGAAAAGAAAATTTTCTTCGCTGAATTCTCTTTTTCTTATTCAATGACATTATGAGTTATTTTACATAAATACTTGAGGATATTACGTAACAAATAAACTTGCGTTATGCCGTAAACTTTATCAGAAATAAAACTGTTTACTGAATATGAATAACATTAGGATCACGTCGATTTTTTTTTAATAAATTTTTTTGTCCCCCTTAATCAAAAAATTTTCATCCCATTTTCCAATTTTTTTCAATCCGTTTCGTCCAATGAAATTCCTAGTTGTAAATGCGTTATAATTGGTTATGTAATTCTTGAAATTCGTATAAAAGCTCTGTACTTATCGATATAGATAATTTTCTTCACAATATGGACGTCAGTAACGTGCAAATTAGAGGCTCTGTTGTTCCTCACGTAGTCACAGAAACGGAAAATGCATTTCTGAATACATTGTATCTGGTAGCGTTTCCATCACTGGAAGCGTTAAGGAGCGCCATTAGAACTTATGAAAAAGCAACGTACTGCCATTATGCGGTGAGCGATTCTCATTTCCATGGAGATCGGAAGCCGTATATTAAATTTGTATGTTGGAGAAAGAGCTATAAAACACCAAGCGGTTCTTCGCAGCCGATTAAACGAAGGAGGTAATTTGATTAGTGTTATTATATTGTTCATTGAGGACTTCAATGGACACACAATGTCCCGCCTTCATCTTTTGTAAGTTTCTTGAAGGTTATTGGACTGTTGTTCGTGGCAATGTGCATCACAATCACGAGTGCAATTCCCTGAGGTACGACTGTAACACATGGATGCGCCGATTAACGGCGTGCACCTTCTTCGAAATGTCATCACGAGGGTAAGCTTTCCTTTCTTAACAATTAACCCATTCATCGTATTCGTAGAGGCTACGATCTGATCTTCAAATGTTCTACCGTCTTATGCTAACAAGAAATGTGGAAAGGTAAATCGAAATATGCTTTACAATGTATTGTAGCTTCCAACGGTATGTGTCATTTATCGAATCAGCAGACGGGAATTAATACCAATATTTGAGAGATCAGTTATTGTGCAAAAAGCACAAGTGGTCGAACGCTTTTAGACCAGCTGCAATGCTTCTAGATCAAAGCAATACAAATTTCGTTGAGACGACCCATCGAATTTTAAAGTTGCATAAGCTGAACAGAAAAACACCCGTGTTTAGATCGATATTTAGTGTTCTGCTTCGCACTGGATATTGGATAGAAGCTAGAGTTCAAAAGTACTCCACTGAATGCCTTAGCAGGGCTGTGCTGGGTCGCGAGCCTACTTGTGTCGGCGTATGTCTGCTGAACAGCATACCGCTCTACTTAACTATGCTCATCAGTTGCTTAACGATGGATTACCTACTACCATCACAATGCCCGTCGTCCGAAATACCACAGGCACCAACCGTCAACAGAACGTAGATTTGGATGCTACCTTAAATGATGACGAGATTGAAGTAATATCTATGAACTCAGAAGTGTTTACGGACCGAGACAATGAAGAAGACGAACGTGCGCACAATGACCGACTGTGTGATATTTGCCATCTACGTCAGACGCCCAGTGAACTAGCTGATGGAAGTGTTTGGATTTTTTGTCCATGCAACACTGTTTCATTCGTTCTGTGCCTACGACCCAACAGAAGTATCACCTGGGTTCAACTGTCCCATGTGCGGCGCTGTCACGGACTCATAGTGGAGTCATCGATCAGGACCTAAGGAGCTGTGTAGAGACCGAGTAAAGGCCCTTTTCAGGGCCACCCACAATTTGATTTAAATTTTGTTTGAATTTCTTGTTTCCATTTTAAGGAGGAGTCTTGAAACCATCAATAATTCATTTCACATTCATATGATTTGGTTACTAGGTACAGTAGAGAAATGTAGTAAGATCAGTTCACTAGTACAACAAGATCATTTCTATTGCTAAGGTCAAGTGAACAGACACTGATCGGTCATCACAATTCCATAGTAATTAAGCTGTAGATTAATAATTATCATCGCTCACTTTATTACCATGCCAACAGCTTTCCAGGTTTTTCAAATTTAAGGTTTCAGTGAACGATTCCGTACAGAAAACAACGTCATATAATGAACATTAATCTGTCAAACAAAAGTATATGCAAAGGTGTGAAAGATCATCCCAATCTCTTTTCACTTAGCCAAGGTAGACGATTGTACTGAGATCAGTTCACTAGTACAACAAGATAATTTGTATTAAGAAGGTCAAGTGAACATACACTGATCATTCATCACAATTCCATAGTAATGAAGATGTAAAATCACTTTTTCTAGATTAATAATAATAAAGTGATTATCGATCACTTTATAATTTTGTCAACACCTTTTAAGGTTTCAGTAAACGATTCCGTACAGAAAACAACGTCGTATAATGAAAACTTACATATCTAACAAGTCATTAATAATAATAATAATAATTTATCATTGTTGAAAGCGTGAGTCAATTGAAGCTAGACCACCATGGAAAACCTGGAAACACTGGACGGCCGTTTCGTCCTATTATGGGACTCCTCAGCAGTGCGCATCCACGAACCCGCCTCTAGTGAGAAGCAGTGACCAGTGGAGTTCAAAACCACGTCTGTTGTGAGATAGGAACTCACTGAAGACAATTGGTGAATGGTTGCTCAACTTCGTGGATCAGTTGAAGTTAGACATTAACACCGTTGGATGCCAGCTCAGTGGTCTATCGGTTAAGGGCTTCGGCTCGAGACTGACAGGTCCTGGGTTCGAATCTCGCTCGCGAGAGCAGGTTCGTGGATGCGCACTGCTGAGGAGTCCCATAATAGGACGAAACGGCCGTTCAGTGTTTCCAGGTTTTCCATGGTGGTCTAGCTTCAATTGACTCACGCTTTCAACAATGATAAATACTAAATCTCCACAAAACCCCTTCTATAATTAATAATAATAATAATAATAATAATAATGGAACATACGAAATGTAATAATAATTTTTCTTATGATATTTATCACTGCATTGCAAAAATTCGATACAGTGATAAATGTCATTTAGACGTCTGATAAATAAATGTACAGATTGAAATACGATATTCTAAATACATAATGGTTACTTGATACCTTACTTGACCTTATTCCACATTAAGTCATATCATTGAAATAGAAATTTATTTCACTAGACATAGGCTTCTTCATTGACACTTCATTCAACCTATATTACACATATGCTTGTCAAAAAAGGTTACTTTTTCAACATTCAGCGTTTTACTGTTTGACAGTTTAAGAGTAATTATTTTCCCTTTTGACGGAAAATGTACATACAGTTTTTCATTGTTCGTCCAGTATGTTTAACAAAGGAAACTGTTGGATTTGGAAATATAATTTCAGTCTTTCTAATTAATTAACGTTTACAATGTTATTTACTAATGAAAATAAAAAATTCAGATCATTAATTTGAAAGGCTGTGCACTTAAAAAAACATTGGCTGTTAACATTAGCTGCCAAAAAATATTATGCCCACCTGACAAATACAATTACCGTATTACATGACTGAGTACACTTACATGTATTTTCGGTGATCATTATTAAGTGATCAACTACAAATAATGTACAGGTCAGCATATTTTATGCTTTTAATGGATTTACAAAAAACCTTGATATTGCGTTCATTTTCGACACCCTTTCCAATGCTAAAATGATCCACTTTTTGGTATTAAGAACAACGGTTTGCAAAATAACTGAATTATAAAGATTATTTGCTTTTTTCTCAGACATTATTACTAATTTCAGACAGCGTAAAAGTTGCTTCATTTACCCATCTTTTACGGTTAGCGTGACTTTAGCATGACCCATTCGCTTTCTCTTCATCATGATTTATTCGTATATTTACACGAATATAACGTTTATTAAAAGAGCGAACTAAGTGTTAAATTAACTTATGGGAATACTTAAATGAAAATCTGTTCACTAATTGTGTATTAAACATTTGAGACTACCTTTGAAATTCAATAATCACCATTATCAATTATTAATAACAACTGTCAGTTTTTTCAAAAATTAACTTTCAATGATCCACAGATTATTACTATTCTTGTCACGATAACTGATAACTTTAGTTGCATTTGTACTTCATAAAAAGAAATTACATTCACTAACAGGAGTATAGCAGGGTAATGAAAAGGATTTGTTTTTGTTTTTTTCGAAGTTAAATTTTTTTACAAAACTCAGATGGAACAATGCGAAAATAGTTAATTATTGTAAATAATAATCGAATGTAAAAATGTCAATTCTTACATCCAATGAAAGCACTTTATTCTAGTTCGATTTGAACGAATCAAATTACAAAACTGCACCATTTACAACCAATTAAAAAATTATTACAGGTGACAAAATGTTTGTTCATTTGCACTTGAGCACACACTTTCAAAGACAAATTCACCAATCACCAATTGCTAAATTTTTTTCACATCCTTTAATTTCCAAAAAGGGTGGTAGGGGATTATACGAGCCGTGATTCTAATGTCAACCACTGAATATTACCAAGTAATATAAAGCAATATGCAAAAAACAATTTACTTACGCCTGTTACTCCCAAAGGAGAATAGGCCGCCGACCAACCCACTCTCTCCTGGGCCTTCTTTTCTAGTTCTATCCAATTTTTATTCATTTTTCCCTTATCTATCTTCACTTCTCGACGTAATTTGTTCTTTGTTCTTCCTCTTTTCTTTTGGCTCTCAGAATTGCATGTGAGGAATTGCTTTGTGACACAGTTGGGTGGTTTCCTATTCACTTTCAGCACTGCTTCCTGATTTTTTTCTCCGCTGAAACCTGGTTTGTTATCTCCCACAGTAGGTTGTTTCTGATAGCGTCTGGCCAACGGTAGAACTGTCTTGACATTTGTATTGAAAATTCTGATCTTGGTGTTGATTGACAATTGTTTTGAGTTCGAGGTGTTCTTCAGTTGTAAATATGCTGCTCTTGCTTTGCTGATACGCGCCCTCACATCTGTAACAAATCCACCGGGTGCATCAATGATGCTGCACAGATATGTACAGGTTTTTGCATCCTCCAAACCTCTCCATCAAGTGTGATTTGGTTGGTGCATGTTGTATTGTATCGGAAAATCTTGCTTTTCCCTTTGTTTATATTGAAACCCACTATTGCTGAGGCTGCTGCTATACTGGGTGTCTTCTCCTGCATTTGTTGCGTGTGCGACAAAAGAGCCAGATCATCTGCGAAGTCTAGGTCGTCCAGCTGCACCCTAGCTGTCCACTGTATTCCATGCTTCCTCTCAGATGTCGACATCTTCATGATCCAGTCGATCACCAGGAGAAATAGAAAAGGTGAGAGTAATCAACCTTGTCTGACACCGGTCTTCTCTTCTGTATATATATATATATATATATATATATATATATATATATATATATATATATATATATATATGGCAAAAAATATAAAAGTGAGTGAATTCGCCTACTGTAATATCCAACGTGTCATTAGACCATAGTAATAAAACACAACAATTATTTAAAGAATGAAGATAAATCTTCACCGAACTAGAATAAAGAACTCACTTGAACTAAGCGTTCTGTTTCGTACATACTTAAGAATTCTGGTATGCAAACACATACAAATGTAGTCTGAGTGGAATCTTTAAACTGCTTTGTTATTTCTTTAACGATAGGTAAACGTGTTTCTATTGCATTTGTTAAATCACCCCCTTGTGTACTGTTCATTCCGACTAGGCCCATTAACTGGTTTAAAATTGGAGCGAACTACGAATTATTGAAAACATAAGAACAAAATATCCAGAAGAATCAACTTCAATTTTCACTTGGAATAATAATGAGTAAACGGAAACACAGGAGAAAAATAGAGATTATATGCATTCATTTTGTAATTAAACCCAAAACCCCATAATAGCCATGGCATATAGCTTTTTTAAACATAGTATCATGTATTTGACACAAAAAGATTACATTCGTAATGTGAAAATTGGCTTTAATAGTCAAAAATTATGAAAACTGTTTACTAAGATTTGAATGTCGAACAAATAATTTGGAATAATTTATTGTTTCGATAGACTTTAGAACTAAGTTGAGTCAAAGATGACATAAGAATTCATTTGGAATTATCCACTTTTAACAACTGGTTGAGTTAGTGAAGCATGCAGGCACTTGCTGAAAATTCCGTACAATGCATAACTGTGGATTCAGCTGAACTTTATAACAGTAAAATATGACTCAATGTAATGGTGAGGTAAGTTATTCGATAAACGACGCATTTCGACCGTCGTTCACGTACAAAAGATCAAACGACACTAGTTACGCCACATGAGTAAGTTAAAATAAATTTGTAAGGTTCGATCATATGTTACGTAAGACCAGTTAATAATTACCTTCACTCGTTCTTAAATATGTTAAAAAATATGTATAGTAATGTGATTCTGCTGTCACGATAACAATAGTGAATGGTAACTTAGGCATCCACTCGGCCACAAGTCATAACAGATTCACGATAATGGACGGAAGATAGTACAACTCACGCAAAAAAGTGATTTTTTAACACAATTTACATTTAACTCATGAAGGCTCAATAATAAATTGACAGAACTAAATTTGGCATAATTTACTAGTCGCTAACCAACTATTATGTATGGTCATTATAATTTTACTAGTCTGTGTTGGAAGATACACTGGTCTTGGTAAATAAATTCCCCGAAACCCTTCAGTGTTTTGAGTGAACCCATCCAGTAACCAATGAAAACAAGTAATGTTTACTTGTAGCTATCGTACACATTTTAAACTACGTTAGTACACATTTAACCAGTACAGAAAAATGATTTTCGAGAAAGTTGACCAGATCGAAACAATCGCTACTTACCTGATTTTTCATCGATACTACTTTGCTAAGGCTTTTCTCCATAGCCTCTGGAAATGCTAACAATCGTAGTGTGTGGCCAGTAGGAGCTGTATCAAAAATGACAACTGAATAATCCATATTACGGACCAAACGAAACACCTCTGTATACGACATATACTCATCCACCCCAGGGAAAGAAGTCATCAAGTGACCTATGGTTTTACGTATATCAGCTGAAACTGCTGCTTCTTCAGAGCCAACAAGATCTTCTTCGAACTCTCCTAAGTTCACATTTGGATCAATTTCCATAGCAAAAAGATTACTGAAACCCTAAAACCAGAAACGAGCACATCCTGAACAGTTAGAATTGACGGAAAGTATTCTTGAAGTTTAAAAAGAACAATTTGAGAAACATCCCAGTATGCTAAAGAAGTTTACTATTCCCGCTACTGTAAATTGTCTCAAATTTAAACACCATTTAATTAGATCTGTAGTGAAATAACTAATTTACCAAGCACAAATTTGTCCATTTATCTTCAGGTCATAATACTTGTGCGAAGGTAATCAATACTATCAGGCTGTCTAAAACGAAATAAGAGGAATAAGACTCAAACTCTCAATCTATTAGTTAGAAGAGCGATCTCCTAATTATCAAGCCATCACCCATTTGGACGATGGATTTGGTCATGGATTGATATCAGCTCAAAAATAATTCCACACGAGACCATTCGACAGCTATTTCATTATGGTTTAATACTTTTTGGAATCTTCCATCTATGGCATCTGCTATTTAACACTTCACTAGATGATATCAGTTCCTGATAGAACATTTTTCTGAAACCTGGATAATAATGATAATAGTGGTAACTTTATTTAATATTGCATGTTCAGTACAAAACAACATTCTCAACAAACCCTCAAAATCACCTATTTACTCATTAGTGACTAGCTTCAGACAATTTCTGAAGTTTCATTGATAATTTGTGACCCCTGGGTCAACCAACTAGGCAGTAAGGAGGTTATCCACTCTCCATATTAGATAATGATTTCGCTATTTCGCGAATCAACTGTGACTGGAATACATATACCATTGAATACATAGTTTCTGAATGTGTTTGTCGAAAGACCTGGAGACCCCATATTTAATATATTCTGGCAGTTTGTGTACACTAACGAAAATCTTCAGTCGGTAAAGTAACAGCTATCGAAAACTTCTAGTTTGAATGATTATCCAGTTGTCAGTCCATAATGGATATTATCTTTGGTCTAATAAATCGTTAATTCGGTAACGTTTGAAGTAAGTTTATTACCCATGACCAAATCAATAATTATATTAATAAATCAAAAAACTTGAGATATAACGTGTGTACAAAATGTTTTGCTTTAGTTTATCTAACTAATATAAATCAGTTATTCGCCAGGTGGTAAGGATGGCTTCTCAGTAGTTGTCAGCCCAGATAGAAGTTAATACGACACTAAGAAATAACAAGACATTTGTGTTGTATTACTATGCGCGGACCCCGAACAAGTAGTCTGCATCTACCAACATGGCTCAGACTAGAATTTATAGACTTCGAGCACTGGTGCCACGTTTCGGTTTGGCCGCCCCTAACTTTCTTCCAACCGTCTCTAATACCAGTCAGCATTGCGCGTCATGGTAATCGGTGTTCACGCATCCGAAACACGTGGCCCAACCATCTCAGTCGATGAAGATTCATGATCTCACCAACTGATTTACCATCATTCCCTAATACCCTATGTCTAACCTCACAATTATTTACTTACCTAGTGATCTCAGCAGATGCGAGCAATATTTCCAAGACATCCATGATAAAATACTAGTAAATTACGAGTACAGTCTACTCTTAATGGTCACGTGCAATGCTAACTAGTGTTGGGAATGGTTAGAAGAAAGTTGGGGGTGGTCAAAGCAAAACGTGACATCAGTCCTTGAAGTCATTAACTTCTGATCTGAGCCATGTTGGTAGGTGCAGACTACATGGTTGGGGTCCGCGTGACTATCGTAACCAAAGGTTTGAGACTCCGGGTGACATGGCTCAGAACCGATTACAATGGCGTATACACTCTTTGTCTGCCCTTAAACCGTGAGACTGAAATTACTTGACACAGTTCTTTCTATGAACTAATTCTTTTCCCCTGTATCATATCCTTATATGCAATCTTTGCCGATATATCACTACCATTAAAGTAATTGTTTCTATGAATTTGGTGTTCATATTGTTGTGTTAATGAGGTGTGGTAACTTGGAACGATGTATATATGTGTCTGGTCCTACATTGTAGCTGACTGACTGACTAATAGCCACGTTTTGCAGTCGTAAAGTAGAACAGAACGAACTGCCGCACAGTATACTCGTCCCTTAATTGATAGGCGGATATCTCGCCTTTGTCATAGGTGGCGTAAGTTGACAAAAGCCAAACAAGTTTTCTGAATCCGTGAAGAGATTTCGTCAGACACCAACCCATTAAGGCTGGTTAGACTTCAAAGATAAGTGAAGTTGTCGACGTGTTCGACTACTTCACTCCCCACCCGTAGTTCAGGTGTTGAATTCTTCATGTCCCTATCTTTTTTCTCTTTCCAAACTTATCTCACTGGATTATACTTCTTGAATAACATCTTCAAACCCTAATCTTTCGGATTACTGCCTATACTCTTACTACTTCTACCACTATGGGATTTGAATCGACAACTGCATCTCTGTGCTAATGTGGTATGTCAACTCGAAGTGATGTACATACGTACGAAGTTCTACTTTTATGACTGACTGACTGAGTAAGAGTATAAGCAGTAATCCGAAAGATTAGGGTTTGAAAATGTTATTCAAGAAGTATAATCCAGTGAAATAAGTTCGGAAAGAGAAAAAAGATAGGGACATGAAGAATTCAGAAGATTACAATCTGGGAGAACACAAAGTGTGGATGCACCTTCACCATTGCAAACAATTTCGAGCCATGTCATCCAAGGTCTCTAATCATTGATTGCTATCATCTCGATGGCCCCAACCAGATAGTCTACACCTACCAATATGGCTCAGTCCACTTGTCAGTGACTTCATGGATTTGTGCCACGTTTTGGTCTGGTCGCCCCTACCTTTCTTCCAACCTACTCATACACCATAGAACATTGCACGTCGGGGCAGTCGGTGGTTGAGCATATGTGATACATGTCCCAGCCATCTCAACTGATGAAGTTTCATTACTTCATCAATCAATTTGCCATTCTTATCTAGTACCCATTTTTTAACAACTGCATTACTTACCCGGTGGTCCCAGGATATACGAGCAATGCTTCGAACACACCTATGATCGAAAACTAGTAGCCTACGAATATCCTCTATTCTTACCGATCATGTTTCAATGCCATAAAGTAGGACCGAACGAACTGCTGCAGAGTAAACCCGTCCTTTGGTTGTTAGACGGATATCTGGCCTATGCCATAAATGAAGCGGGTTGGCGAAAGCTAGACGAGCCTTCTGCTATACCTAAATGGTGACTAAAATACCTGAGAAAAATCACAAAGGACAGCTATACGAACAATTCTAGAGTTCCGAGGCTTACAAAGAGCGCCTTGATAGATCAGACCTTTTTACTGAGTCTTATCACAGATTGAGACGAACTTATTTTGATGTATAAAATAATAAATTATTTCAAACACGAAATATCTTTTTTATTACTTCCTAAAAGAACAGGAAGACTCAGAGGACAAAGCGGCAGAGTTCAAATGTCAAGAAATATCGGCGGTAAACAGATTTTCCCACCGAGTCAATAACTTTCGTGACCCAAGAACGTAAGAAGCGGTATCTGCACCTTCAACTGACTCATCCAAGAGAAGAAATGGGGCTTATAGAGGCTTGCGGGAGACTATAATTTATGAACGAACCAATCAGATATAAGACAGCAGGTTTGGGATTTTGGAGCGAAATTAATTCGTCCATTTGGCTAAATAGCGTCTTGACATTTTAGTTAGTCAGTTTGTGATGAAAACTCTAAGTCTAGCTCCTAACCCTAACCACCAACTGTAAATCATAATTCTAATTCCCTACATTGCTTTATGATTGTCATTTAGTCCTAGTTAGAAGGGGACATTCTCAGAGTAACTTAGGCGTCGTTCGAAGGTCATCCATAAATCATAGTCTTACCGAGACTTGCTAAAAACGGACTAACACTGTTGGCCTTCTGTCTTTAGTGCATACATCAGAATCTGAATCTCAAACCTGAAAAATATACCTCTGTATAGAAAATACCAATAAGAATACCTCAGGTATATAACCACTGGTAGACACTAGGAAAAACTCGTTTGATTTGAGCACTTCAAATTTTGAAGTACCGAAACGCCTACATTGCTACAGTAAACGGAAACAATCTAAGTGAAAATGCAGCGTCGGTAAGAAGTCAAAAGCAAGCTTCGTACTTACCTTAACTTTGGTAGGATTTTTTGAAAACTTTTGGTCAAATGCATCCGAAAGGTTATGAGCAGGATCCGTGCTCAAAATGAGGACACGCTCACGCACTTTAGCCATTTGAACAGCAATGCTGCAGCTGCACGTTGTTTTTCCTACTCCACCTTTACCTCCGACAAAGATCCAACGCAAAGTCTTTGAGTCCAAAATATTCCGTATGGTAGGTTCAAGTGTGCTCATTTTTACAGCTAATGGACCAAAAACACAAATCAAACAGAAGAGACAAAGTTCAGCAAATTCCCATTTTGTATGTTTTAGAAAGCCCAAATAGAGAACTTTTTCAACAGTAGTATACTGCTTGCTATTCATACTGATTTACCAGGCTTTTAAAGCTAAGAATAAATTTTCTGTACCCTAGACTAAAGTAATACCGCAGAAAACTTGAAAAGTAAAGACTATTTCACTTTTTTTCGCTCTGAGTCGAAAATGTCACAGAATTTACACCAAACTGTCCACTGTTTGGCTAAGTTTCCGCCACAGCTATGTAGCTGTGACTTTCAATTTATGGCCTGAGAAGACAAGAACTAGACAGGGATTCTAGAAATCCTCCCATCTATAATCTGATTTCACATTAATTACAAGTCAACTAGGCACAAACGTATAATCACCCTCATACTTCAGAACGAGAAGTGCCAGGCAAATAATTTTAAACTAACCTCTCTTTAGGTCAGGAGCACTAAAATTGAAGTGTTCAGAAAACAATGTGCAAGAAATGCTATTTCAGGAACCAAAGTCACGTGGTTTGAAAACCAGCCTATTATTGTGATCTCAGTGTATCACAGCGGTTCGTGGCAAATGGTCAGGTAAACTCAAATTGTTCTGGACATTTTTTCAATGCCTGTAGCATTATTCGGCGTAGTATATAATAGTTGTTAATTATCATAACCCAACTGAATACCATACGTGACACCATAAGGACACAAAACACTTTCCATTTATTCTGGTGACTTCATAATTGTTTACAGTGTTTTTCTGATAATAGTGATGAAGCGGTAAAGAAATCCCCAAAATCAATAGCTCTGTAATTGTTCGACATTGTATGCTGACCACATTAGTTTTAATGGACTCACCTAGCTGAAGGAGCTCGGCCATGCATCCGCTCCAGGTCACGAGTGGGAACGCCGTGCTCAACATCTGCTGCGATCACTAGCCGCTTTAGATCAGTCACTTCTCAATATATTGATAACCTATCAAATATATTCTCCAACCTCCTCGCTTCAGAATTTTAATTTCACTAGGTGGGTACAATTCAATTACAAGTCTTACTGGTAAAGTGTTGACAAATTACAATACCTGTAGCATCCTCACTGTCTCCATATCGAATAATATTCAAGATCTTTTCGTGATCTAGTTGCCTAACAAATGAATGCAGCCAGTGAAGTATCACTAGGCCCCATCCAACTCATCTATCAACTCAGACTGTTTCTAGGATAGGCGACAAATCCTTAGTCACTGAGCTGCCTAATGGGGGTATATGGCATATTACCACCATTCATCATGACAACCAATCAGATCCGTACACTGATGGCGGAATGTGAACCACTTCCGTCATTACTAAAAGCCAATATATATGCCGTATTTCATCCTGCGTTTTCTTCCAGTTATTTTACATCTTCGTTGGAGTTGCTGATGTTTGCAATGACTTAAGCTTACTGCATTCATTTTGCTAATGTTAGTTCAATCGAGCTGTATTATATTGCTGTGCCGTAATTGCGACTTGAAGTTTTAGACCTTTCGAGCTCCTAAGTTTTTAAATCAAAGTAATGAAGATCTATTTTAAGATATAGGGGAAATTTGAGCCCATCTCTGAAATTTATCTTACCTGGATGCATCAAAAAGCATAGATAAGACTGTTACGTATGAAGTGCTATGTTTCAGAGTTCCTAGTTTAACGGAACGTTTAGGCTACTACAAATGTTATATTTAATTAGGCGAAATAAGTGACCTCATCAAAATACTGAGGGTTGTATTGACCTGGAATCACTCGAGCTCGTGAGAAATCTTATCATGTTTCAATGGGGAGCATGACGTGAAAAGGTGCGTTACCCACCTCCATGTATCAGTTGCAAGAAATAAAAAGCGATAAGTTATAAAATATAATGTTGCAGAATGGAGCTAAAACATGCACGTCAGTATTTAATATAGAGTTACTTACGTCTTCTGCCCCTCATAGCAACATGGGTTGCCTATCAGGATTCTCCAACCAACTGTGTCCTAGACTCTTTTTTCCAGTTGTTTCCAATTGTTGTTCATTCTTTTGATGTCTGCTTTCGATTCCCTGTCCAATATGTTCCTTGATCTTCCTCTTTTCTGTTTCGCCTCAGGATTTCAAATTAGGGCTTGTCTCGTGATGCAGTCTGATGAATTCTGAATTGTATGTCTTATCCACCTCCAACGTCTTTTCCTAATTTCCTCTTCATTAGGGAGCTCGTTTGTCCCCTGGAACAGTAGGTTGTTGCTAATAATATCCCGTCAACGGATCTGAAGTATCTTGTCAGTCAGTCAGCTACAACGTAGGACGAGGCACATTTACGCATCGGTCCAAGTTGCCATACCTCGATGGCACAGCAAGATGAACACCGGATTCATAGAAATAGTTAACTTAGTGGTGGTAGTATATAATAGATAGGTTGTATATAAGGATATAGTATAGGAAGGAAAACAGATATGAAGTTATTTTGCTCTCAAGGTTTAAGCGAAGATAAAGAGTGTATACACCTGCGCCATTATGATCGATTCCGAGACATGTCACCCGGAGTCTCCAAATAATGGTTACGATAGTCACACGGACCCCAACCATGTAGTCTGCATCTACCAACATGGCTCAGACTAGAAGTTGGTGACTTCAAGCTCTGATGCCACGTTTCGGTTTGGCCGCCCCTCTCTTCCAACCATCGCCAATACTAGTCTGCATAGCGCGTCGTGGTAATCGGTGTAGAAAATCGTTTGAAAATGCCTGTACATTTTTGGTGATGGTTGTGGTAATTCTCCACTTTTCAGCTCCGTACAATGGAATTGTCTTGACTTGATAGAATTCGGATAAAAAATATGTTGTAGTGTAGCCGAGCATCTGTCATGAGAAACTCGCAATTAGTGAAAAATTGGGAGCTAAATTGTCGATTGTGCTGAAAACGATCTTTATTTTTGCGTTGTGTAACCAATAGGTGAGCGGAAAACTGTACTGTAGGACAATCTGTTTAAATGACAATGAATAATTTTCTCCCCACCGAATATCATCAAGATGATGATGAATATTACAAAGTAACGGATCTACAGTACCGAACTGTTGAATATGGCCACTGGTTGATCTTATAAGGTTTGACTCTCACTCTCTAGTTATTCCAATAAATCATTTTCGTAAATCATTTGAGCACTACATTACGATAGTCTATGGTCACTAACTACCACGTGAACTGACTTCGATGTGAGGTGGTCAAACCATTCCCGTTACATACGAGTAGATCAAATGCTTAAAAGTCTAGGCTTCAGAAATGAAGCCCATTTGGAACAAGTATGTATTGGTTTGACAGTTGTCAAGTAACCTTCTCCAGATAATATGCAAATGGACAGCCGAAAAGATTTAAAACATCCCATAATTCTTTTGGAAACAAAAGCACGCTTGTACGTTGCACAGGCTTTGAAGGTTGCGACATTCCTTCACGTTGTTCTTTTACGCAGTAATTCTTTACCCAAAGTTAACATGTTTATTAGCGAAAAAAGGCCATATTTTGAAAGGGATTCCATGAATTAGACACTACGTTTGGACACTCGACTTCATATACTTAGTGGGTTAGGTTTTACTCTGTAGACGTCTTGTTTTTCTTTAGCGTTCATATGTTACCTCCCGGCAAACACTGGACTCAATTCCACCAACGAAAATGTAGTCTACGAAGTTAGGTTCTAACAGTACTCTAGTTTGATCCACTACGTCGAGCTACATGTACAATACAGTTCTTGCGCAAGGCTCAAATGAGTTCGACCTTCGAAACAAAGTATATACGGTCAAATTTGATAAATACAGATGAAGTCTCCAGAAAACTCTTTCCTCACCAAGTATGCATCAATGTAAAACAGATTTCCCTCTGAAATACTCATGGCATATGACTACATACGTTTGTAAGACTTCTTGACGAAACCCTCGCTTGCACTGATCTAGCACGTGCGAACACATTTGCGTCCCATTCATAAATCATAAGCCCTCTATATGTATAGACCAAATTATTCTTTCAGTTCAGTTTCCCTTAATTCGCTCCTTGGCAGTTGTACTAGATACGTTTCCCTCTCTAAATTTTACTCAGAATAGAAGGATAGCTCACTAGACCTGCCAATACCGCCCAACTATAGTCGATCATTCAGGGACACTCCCTACTATACCAAATATTTGTCAAGAGAACCGCACAGTCGACCGCCTACTACCAGTAGTCTTACATCTATGGAACCTGAAACCTATCAACCGGTTAGGATAGCGCAAAATGCCATCAGCATGTAGTCAGAGTGTGTTCCTTCTTGTCTATTCTTCATCATCTTCCTACTCTCATGTACACTGTGTTGGCTTACCACCAATTTCATCTCACTACTCATTGCTTCATTTATAAGTATTACATATTTCTACACTTTCCTGCCTACTTCAGCTAACATTTATCCTGCAATATACCATTGTTTGGAAACCCACAATTTGTATTATAGTCATTTAAAGCATGCCTTACTCACGGTCCATAATTTGTAACTGTCTAATAAACATGAAAAAAGGTACTAATAGGAAAATGTTTTCAACAGGACTTGAAAAAATGGAGCAATGTGTGTAATAAATTTTATCTTGAAATAAACTCTAATGAAACTAGCATCACAAAAGGGGGAAAGGTGGAGTTACTAACCAGCAAACATTGATGATGAGGGTGACGACTTCAATACACCCGTATTTGTGGGGAAGAATATTTTGTTTGTATCAGGCTCTTTATGCTATAGAACGAGGCAATCAATCAGTGTTATTGAGGCTGTTATCCCACGCTTACTACTTTGATTCATGTTTGCGATTTTATGTTTAATTCGCTATTCTACTGAGACAACCAATAACATGCTCACTCAGAGTTTGACATTATAACCTAGCTGCTGGCATCAAATGAAAGAAATAAGAAAATAAGAAAACGGACAAGAAAAGGTATACTTATCAGCTTTCCTCGACACTTTGCTCATTTTTAGTGTACTTTATACAATGACAAACAGAATACCCTAATTAAACTTCGACAATCGGAAATTGAAGTGAAACCTACGACGTGAAACGAAGTCCTAAGTCGGGTTTTTAACCTTATATACAGTGTTCACCCACCGAATGAACAGAAAAATAGTATGTGTTACTAACAGTTAACAGGGAGATGTAGATGATCTACAAACTTAAATCAATGCCTTCTATCCTGCTCATACACTTTTCGAAAGAAAAATTCTAGCTAGCAGTGGGATTCTTCTTGAGTTTGAAATTTAGAGGTAGGTCCCGTCTTCCTTGTTAAGCTCAAATAATTCAAGTTTTTAGTCTGCCAACATTTGGACCAAAAGGTTATCAGAATCCTGATTTAATGTTGAATTTTTTTAATGCCTAATCTTACTTAAAAATAACAGTTGTCCGGGGCATACATGGTAAGTGTCTTTGCAGAAGTGACCG